TGCAAACTGCTTGAAAGTGTACGAGGAGTTGTTGCAGCGCATTGAAGAGGATAATCTTGCGCATGAGCACAACAGAGAGTCATAGCTATATGTATGCCTTCAGAAGAGTTTGGAAAGACCATTTTTGGGTATCAAAGTAACTTCAGCAGATGCTTTCATTGTAAATCAAATGGAGTATTGTAACTCTTGTCTTTTTTCGGCTAACTATATCATATCATGGGTGCCTGGCAGCTTGGTCTTTTTTTTATTCCTTTCCTTTCCGCTGCTTGCCTGAAGAATTGATTTGATCCTCAGGTCTTCAATCATGAGTTCCCTTCAGTGGTTCGCAAGCAGTGGCATGCACACCTTTGGACGGGCCAGGGAAGTTTTTCCTACAAAATTTGAAACTAGCAAAACATGAACAGAACTTCCCGGCCTGATGAATACAGCTCCCTCCCTACCTGAATGCAACTCCACCAGTTTTTCCTTTGGTTTTCTTCTTCCGAACTTCCCTATGGTCGTGTGTGATGCTAAATTTGTTTCATGTAATTGAAAGGTAAAGTTTTCCTTTCGAGTAGAGTCTAGATTCAGTTTATAATTTTCTTGCTTATTGAACTTGTACAGTTTTTTTTTTAATTAGCTAACTGAAACATCTTTAGCGATTTATAATGTTTATGTAATAATGTGTTAGGAATATAGAGCCTAGTTATAATGTCTTACAAATGTACTCCTCCGTAGGTTGGTTGGGCTCAAGAAGCATATATGACAATAAATTTGGGATGCTTTGCTCTAACTTCTAAGAGTAATTTTACCATGTTTTTAATGTACATACTCCACTTGTAATGACACCCTGTGGGGTAGATTTTGTAGTTTGGATACTCAATTAAAACTTTAAGTCAATAAAAATTTAGTTGTGTTTAATCAAAATTGTATAATATCCGTTTAAATCTAATGGTATTATATAGTCTGGATTTCTAAAGGTTTCTTAAAAATGGATTGTGATGGATTTTTACTATTTTAGGGTTCTTGATGTAAATTGAAATATATTTACAAATTTTTCTAAAATCTCCGATCTATTCTCTTTTATTTTAAACACAAGAGTAGCAACTCATCACGTGTTGTCTGAAGACGTGAAATACATATGTTTTTAGAATTGAATACTGCTCTGTTATGATTATTCTCTATATATGTTAATGATGTAATTCAAAGCACTTGTATTTTACATATAAAATAATAGTTCCTTCATCCTAAATTAATATTCCTTATATCTATTTTAGTTATCTCAAATTAATCTTCTTCTTTTTTTTTTTTGAAAAGCAGTGGCCATAGAACTGGCACGTTCTATTATACAGAATGCATTAATTTTACGAACGGAGCATCGAAGGGTGGCAGTGGCTTCCGTGGCCACACAAAATAAGTGGCCATTGAACCTAGCCGATAATAGAAATATATATTGTTTTGAGTGAGACATACAAATGCTTTTTATCATCATTATATGTTTGTGTTTGGTATTTTGTTCATGTGAGAGAGAAACACTACTAAAGCGATGTCTACATTTTTAATGAAGTGGAATAATTTTTTTAAAAATAATCATCCAAGGATGATTTTATACCAGGAGATTGGAACAACAAAGGTAACTAGAGCAGTAAAAGAGGGTCAGATTCTCACAATCAAGGAGGAAACAAAAGAGCATATGTTTCCGTGACAAACAAATAACCCTAAATGTTGAGCGGAGAAGAATGATGGATGAAAGGGGTAAGGCTCATGATTTGAGAGTGTAGAAGCTCAATCAAGTGATTAAAGAAAATAAACGAACCACCAACTAATTATTCCAAAAGATGATGAAACAATTATAAGTCTTTCAGGTTGAAAGTGTACTTGCTACCACAGAAACAAAATCCCATAACATATATATTTAGGTTGCGAGACTTAGAAGCGAAAAGTAGTTTTAGGTGGATTAGAAATGCGACGTTTAGAGAAGGAAAAGGCACCGATGGTACCAAGCAAGGTGCTAGAAGGGAGAGAAAAATAGAATTTATTAAAGAGGGACTAGAAGAACACAAAAGGTTAGACCTTTCTAGTCTACCAAAACAACCATCACACAAAACGTTCCATAGCAACCATACCCATCCCATTTAGGGCAAAAAAGAACATACACAAGATTTCTAGAAATGAATTTCAAAGTTTAGATCAACATGATCTTAGTTGATGTCTTGAAAGACTTGATCACTCATAAAAGAAACTAGACGTAGGGGTGTAAATAGATAACAAAAAATTCTGTTATCATTCATATGAGGAAAAACATTCGATTTTGTTTAAAACAAATATTATTTGGAGTAAATTCTATTATTGGTTCTTTATAACACAGAGGTTTCCCTAATTAGTCCTCTATTATCAAATATTATCCAAGTGGTTCTTCTTTTATGAGTATCTTTCCACAAATAGTTCTTTTTTTGATCTTCTATCATGTTGGTGTTAATTTGAAGGCTAAAAGTGTAATTTCACAATGATTATATATCTTTTTTGCCATACACAATTTCAAAGGGTGTTCAGTTTGCGTCGTTTGTGAATTACAGTCGCTTTCGACTATAACCATAGTCTACAAATGTGGTCTTTCGTCAGAACCCTAGCCCACAACCATAGTCATTATTTTTGTGTTATCCGCTTAACCAATATCAGAACACGTCACTAAACATAATGTTGATGTCAAATTATACTTTTAGCCTTTAAATTAACATCAACACGACAGAAGATTAAAAAAAGGACCATTTGTGGAAAGGCACCCTTAAAAAAAGAACTACGGGGGTAATATTTGATAATAGAGGACTAAATATGGAAACCCCCCTATTATAAAGGATCAGTTATGGAATTTACTCTATTATTTGTATCCGATTAAATACATTAGATCGATAAACAGATGCAAATTTGGTAATTATACATCAATTCTTTTAAAATTTAATTTATATATGTAATGTCTCGAAACTCGACTTAATATTTATTTTATGTTGTAGAGATTGCCCTTCTCAACTCGACTCCCTCAACAGATTGCGATACACAGTTAGTGGGTCTAGAGATGAGCAAAAGGACCGATGCGGTCACACTATACTGGTCTTTGGAAAAGACTGCTACAGTAAAAGACTGGATCAGACTAGTCTTTTTAAAAACCCGGTCCTAACTAGTCCGATCTTCTTATCAAAATCAAAGACCAAATAAGACCATTAGTCCAATCTAGTCCGGTCGGTAGTCCAATCTGGTCCGGTCTCTAGTCCCAACATATTGGGTCAAGATTGTAGTTTTGCGATGTTGTGTCAGGGTTACCAAGTAGTCCATCAACTCTTTTTGCATCGGTCGTAAATGAGTTTGTCTCAAAATTTTACGGAGTATATTTTAAGTTAATTAGGATAACTTTAAAAAAATTATTTATAAAAAAACCTTCTCGGAGTAGTAAGAATTAATTGCATTAATTGAAAACTGGATATAATAATTATAGTATATAATGAAATTATATTTAATTAAGAAGTATTCAAATGATATATGTACTTCGTAATATGCTATTTTTAACAATAACAAATTAAATTAAAATACTTATATTATTAAGTTTTAAAAAAAGTTTGATTCCATCGTGGTGGATTTGCCATTCGGTTCATCTATGGTTAAAAATTGAACCAATATTATCCAAGAGACTCACGCACTCGCTAGGTGGAGAAGAGCAGATGAGATTAGGGTTGTTCAGAAAAACTGATCGAACCGGATCGTTAGATCCAGACCGAACCTAGACCAAATTGATATTGGGTCAGTCTTCGGTCTAGATTATTTCTGATTTCGGGTTTCGATCCGGTTCGGTCTATACCCGAGTACCAATCGATCTGGACCACTCTATTACTCCATAATCTAATTTGTAAGAGCAACTCCAACGCATGAGTTATATGCTAAAATATACAAGTTATACATGATTATGTTGTTTTTTTTCTACTCCAATGGGTCATTTATAATTTAGCATGGAAGCTTTAAAAGAAGGCATGTCATCTATATATAGAGAGTGGCTAAAGCTAAAATGTGTTGTGTAATGCCTTTTTTCTCTCCGTATATTATTATGAAAAATAATATAACATTTTAATCACATTATTTACATAAATATAGATATAATATAGAAACATGAATGTGTTTGTATAAAGATTAATTTTATGTAAAAACATATTACGGAGTATTAAAGTGTAAAAAATAGATGACATGGTAGGAGAGGGGGTGAAAAAGTAGGTTGTTAAAACACTTTTGGGAAGCTAAAATAGCTTTTAGGTTTTCAAATAATAGCTTCTCCCTTGGAGATGCTCTAATGCGTCAACTAGGGGTGTTCATTTATAGGTCTGGACCGGAAAAACCGACCGAATCGGACCGATCGGTCCAGACCGAACCCAAACAAAAAGGATTTCGGGTCGATCTTCGGTCCGAAGTATTTTTAATTTCGGGTTTCAGTCCGGTTTGGTCATTACCCGATTACCAATCTGTCCAAACCGAGATAGACCGATAACCTACCTTATTTCTCGTTTTTAATGTTCTGTTGAAGAGGAATGCTAGGGGTACACCATTTGGAGTATTTCATTTGTATACTATCAATCTTAACTCTCCATTTCTTTTTTCATTTTTAAATTTTTTTTTCTCTCTTGCTTTTGTGTGGTAGAGATGGAAGAGTACAAATGGGTCCCAAATGGTGTACCTTTTTTCTCCGTTGAATAATCACCACTCAAATGCCCCAACCTTATCTGTAATTCCTAAAGACCTTAATCGCCAATTCGCCATCGCCATTCGCCTCAATCGCCTGTGTTGTTCGATAGATCGAGAGCGTGAGAGCCAAGAGGATTCGCCGTCTCGTTCGTCAGTCCCACCCTCCACTCTCGAGTCTCGCCCGCTGCCCAGCGCCGACTCGGCTACTCCCTCGCCTGAAATTCTCAATCGTCGAGTGCCTGAGACGCCCACTCCCTCAATCCCAATCGAATCAGCTACGGGTACTCATCTCGCCTCCCTCGTCTCCTTCTCTGTAATCCCTAGTCTCCTTCTCTATTAGGTTTCTTGTTGTCAAATTGTATTATTCTTAGACTTTGTTTCCAAATAACATTTGAAACTTTTGAATTTGGCTAAAGTCTTGGACCGATGAACACCCCTAGCGTCAACCACTCAACCCTATCTTATTTTCTTCGCCTCACAGCCACAAATCGCCGTCTCCCTCACCTCTCCCTCTCATTTCCTGTCGTCGCCCTCTCTGCCAAATCGCAAATCGCCATCTCCACATGAATCTCCGTCGCTTCTTTGCCCTCTTCACAGACTGAATCGTCGTCTCCCTCACCACCGTGTCTCACTCATCGCGCAAATCACCATGTCCATCTTAGGTGCAAATCATCGTCTCCCTCTCCGTCGTTTGTCATCCCCTGAATCTCCACCTTCTCCGTCATCAGTCAGTCCACTATCGTCTCTCTCTCACCCTTCGGATTCAAACAGTGGCACAACACGCAGGTAATTTTCAACTTACTTATCAATAAACCACCAATTTTTTTCAAGGTTGCTTCATTTTAAAGGATCCTAGAATCTGGTTTTATTTGTTTATATTTCGGCACTGCTATGCTCTGGTTGTTTTTGTTTATATTGCTCCAACTTGTATATATTGCTATAGTCTGGTAATGTATAATTGCTTTTGCTATATATATATATATATATATATATATATATATATATATATATATATATATATATATATATATATATATATATATATATATATATATATATTGAAGCCCAGCCCAGCCAAAGCCCAAAACTCCCTAGCCTTTCCGTTCCACGGTAGAAAGCGGAAGTAGCCAAACGCCCAAACCCAAGCACGAACGGAAATTGAAAAAGACGCTAGAAGGAAATTGCCGAGAGAGAGATTCCGTCGCCCGCCTGCACGCTCCACTGCTGCAGAGTCTAGCCGCTGCCCGCCAGACACCACCTCTCCAGAAACTCTCCCGCCTCGAGGTCCAAGAGTCCATGTACAGAGGTAAAAAATACTAATTTCAGAATTTCTTTAGGAAATTTACTTTTTGTTATGTGTATATATGAAAAATCTTTAATCTTTATAAATTTGTGTTATGAATTTGTTATGAATTTTTGTTGTGAATTTGACAATTTGTTATATGAAATTGTCATGTGAAAAATTGAAATCTTTATTTGAAATTTTTGCTAATTGTTATGAATTTGTTGTGAAAATCTGAAAATCTATTAATTTAGTAATATGAAGATCTGTTTTTTTTGGAAATTTAAAGTTTGTATTTGTGTATTTGATTTCACTAAGATGTGATCAACCAATTTGCTCTAAAAAATGCAAGGAAACTTTACGAATTCTCGACTAGCTTTTACACTATGTAATTATACTACTATGATTTTGTCATTTACTTATTTTCTTTTAATACTATTGGGTTAATTGTCATTTAAATATAATTAGTTTACATATTTTAATTGTTTAGACCAATGGGGAATTAGGGATAAGACTTCTAAGTCCTTTTTTTCCTGTCTCGGCCCATGCCGTTGAAGTCTCAGAACTGGCCCTGTCAGTCATATGAAGCAGCTAATTATAGACTAGAGCTCAGGTATTTTGTTTTCTTTTGCTTTACTTTTGGACTTCGTTTTTATAATGGGCTATGTTTGGTTCTCCCCACTTGATATACTGATATACTCCATAAATATTAATATATAGGACTTGATATAACGAAGGTGCTTTTGACAACTTTTACTATAATAATTATTGAAAACAGTGAAAAATAATGTCTTAACACAAATTAAAGTATTTATGAACATAAAAAAACTCTGACTATCTGAAATGTCATAATTAAGAGAATCAAAACAAACTAAAACGCTAATGTCTTTATCATTCAACAATCTTCACTAGTTTCTTGTTCTCTTTCTCAATCTTCTCCTAATTCTGGAATGCTAGTCCCATCACTCGATCCTTAAACTTGTTAGAAGGATTATTTACCAAATCAATTGCAAATCGCATTCTTGATTCTTCATTAACCTGCATTAGTGAGTTCCAATAAGTATTCTTAACATTCTAAAACCTAATTGAGTAATGATATTCAAACTTTCTTACCAACATGTCATGTGCATCGTCCCATGCACATTTTTTCATCCAAGTTGCCACCCAGACTCCACAGTCATTGCTAAAAAAAAATTTAAAAAAGCGCACTAAAAACAAGATTTGAGGCATGTTAAGTTAACTTACGATCCTGCTGCTTGTTGCCCAATATTTATTGGTTCCACAATTTTGAATTCAGATATTTGTGGTTTATGTGCAGCTTCATTATAGCGATAAAAAGAGTTGTCTAGTAACATTTTCTGCAAAAAAAAGTGCCTATACACAATATATTTATTTAAATGATTATATGCAAAGGATTTATTTCTAATTAATAACACAAAGAGATTTAGTTTTTAATTATTACCAGAAAGTGTACAATCATCCTCCTCTTATCCAATGCCATTGGGCATCTTTTGGAGTCTAACAAAATTAAAATCTTTTTCTCAATGTCAACCACTAAGAGGAACTAATGCAGCTTTCCATCATTTATAGGCACAAATATCTACATAAAAAGCACATATGAAATCCAAATCTTGATGTAGATCTCTAATGAAAATAATAATAATACTTAATCATAATGATGATAATAATGAACAATGTTATTAATAATAATGTGGTTAAAGAGTTAAGAGTGACCTTCCTTAATTCCCATAAAAGCATCTAAAGAGTTGTACTCCCTGGTAGAGAGTTTGCGATTGGCAATGTTTTACGTCAACATGTCGGAGGACTCCATCATCAGAAACTACCAATATTGGATGTTTTGGGACCATGTTGCGGAGAAGTACAACGTCAAGTGGCCCAATGTTGCACCATGCTTCGGAAACTTTGGGAGCGTGTGCAGAAGGTTGTCTAAGTAGTGGCATTAGACCTGATCAAAGTGCTAGTCGTGCTTTAGGATGGGCCAGAACACTATATTACCAGAATTTTGTGTGCCTAACAATTGAAACCAGACCCCATCCCACAACGATACCTGTGGGCTTCGGGTTTACTCGGATCATATATATAATAATAATTAAATTATTAAAAATAGATTTTTTAATAAAAATTATTATGCATATTGCTGTAGTTTTTCAATAAGTAAACCTTCCCAATTAAGAGTTAGTATTCTACCTGAGTGTTGTGTGTCTTTGAGAAGTGGACCAATGGAATTAGCTAGTTTTTTATTAGGCAAAGGTTGGAACAAGTTTATCAAAGTCTTCTCGATTTGACTTGTGAGGAAAAAATATTCTAGGGCTTTAAGTTAAAAGGAACCTAGGCTGCACCGGGACGGGAGCGGGTACATATATCGGGATGCGGTGACGGCTAGGATTCGACAACAAAAATAGTAAAATATTAAATATAGGCGTGTAAATGTAAAAAATAATACCCTACTAAATTTGCATAAAACAGTCCAATGACAAACTCAATTAGCTTAAAAAGTAATACAGAGTACTTGTTTGGAAAACAAAAAATACAAATAAACTTAGTTTTTTAAATCCTCAAATAAAAACATCACTCCTTGTCAGCACCCTTCGAGATCAAAGCATTTTCCAACTCTGGTTTATCAAGGGAGATTTTTGCTAACTGTAAAAACCCGGCATCATCAAAGAGTCGAATCTGCCGCATCCTGCATCTTTGTCCTTCGTCATATTGACCAGAATTCCTAGATAAAAGACGTAGATTATTACACTACAAAAAACTCGACCTTTTGTGGCACCAAATTTTGCCACAAAACATTTTAGCCACAATAACAATTTGTAGCAGTTCGTGAATTTGCTACAAGGTTGCCACAGATACCCCGTTACAAAAAGTATTTGTGGCACATTTAATTTTGCAGCAAAAATAATGGTTTTGTAGCAAATAATGATTTGCCACTAATAAAATTTTGCAACAAAAGGTCATGTTTAGTGGCAAATATTAGTTGCCACCAATTATAATTTGTCACAAAAAGTCATATTTAGTAGCAAATTTAGGATGCCACAAAAGTTTATTTCCAGTAGCAAATTTTATTTGCTACAATTATCAATATATTGTGGCAAATCTAATGTAGTGAGAAATTAAATTGCCGCATATTAAATTTGCTACAAATTATTTATAATTACTATTATTATAGTATACTTATTTTTATTGTATTTATTTACATTTTACAGATAATGATATATGCAATGTGAAAAATTATGTGGAGTAATAGTTAAAGCACCAAATTACTATAAAGATTTATTAAGTAAAAGTCATTTGTTATGATTAAAAACAAAATATTTGATATGGTACCCATAATTTCAAACAAAGGTTCACAATAATATAATAGAGGTTTGAAATAGAAATAATAAAAAATACTAAACATGTTTTTTTGACAAAAGTATTCTAAAATATAATCTTCCTCTCATCAACAACATCAATCTATTATCTTGATATCATGTTGTCACTTCTATATATCTCGATTGCAATTCTCAACCAAGGAGTCAAAGGAATCGTATTTTGTATATTGAGCCTTGATCTGCAAATGAAAAAAAACAAATGCAGTACAAGAAATCAATCACTAAATGAATATATTAAAGTGTTAGGAATCAGAGATCAGAGGCGGTCAAGCGGAAGCGAACAAACACACACACACACAAATAGCAGAAAATAAGAACACGAGATTTAACGTGGTTCGGTCAGTAAACTACTCCACGGGTTGCAACTAGGGTTTATCTTTTATTAGGTGCTCACAGATTATAGTTACATGATTGGGTATTTATAAGATATAAATTAGGGTTAACAACTTGCTAAACAAGAAACAACTAATGGGCCCTTTAATTAATAACTAAAACCGGCCCCCCATATTTCTTCTCTTTAACCGACCGGGCTTAAAGCCCAAAGCTCTAAAGCCTTCACCGAATAACCCAACAATCTCCCACTTGAAGGATTTCGCATAGACACAAATGCCATCCAAGTAAACCCATCATGAGTAACTCAGTAATCTTCACTGTCAAGTCCTCCAAGCCTCCAGTTCCCAAGAACAAGCTAAGACTCCAGTTATATCCCCTAGTTGCAACCACCCCCTTCATTAATAACCTGAAAGGACAGTTGAAGCTCCACCGAGCTCCAACCCAGTCGTGACTGTAACCGCCACAGCCTCTGTCTCAACCGGCTTGCACAATCCACCGGATCCAGAGATACACCGAGGACCATTACCACTCTCCAAATCCAGCAA